TCCTTGTTCATATGATATTTCATTCGAAAATGATCATAACAAGAAGGCAAGGAGTGCAAAATGATGTCAATTGCTAACTCCTCGGGGATGTTAACATTCAGCTTCAGCAAACGGTCCACATACCTTTGCATCTTTTGCATGTGGCCCGTGACGGATTCACCGTCCTTCATGCGGGTAGTTATTATGGAGGAGATTATTTCATACCGCTCCTGACGAGCACTCTGATGGTACCTTTCCATCAGGTCTTGGTGCATCTCAAAAGGGTAGAAATCTTCATACGACTTTTGGAGCTCGGCTGTCATCGTGGCCATCATGATACATGCCACCTTAGTAGCATCTCTCTCATGAGTCCTGAATTCAGCGATCTCCTCAGGAGTAGCAGTAGACTCATCAAGTTCTTTTAACTCCTTATCGAGGACATATTCCTTGTCCTCGTAACGAGTAACCATCCTGATGTTCCTAATCCAATCCATGAAGTTGGAACCATCAAAGATGACCCTCCCACAAAGATTCATGAGAGAGAAAGAACCAGTTGGGTTAGAGCCTGAAGCATTAGTGTTGGAAGACATCTGAAAGAAGAAAGTAAGTTTAGATTAGATATTTAGGATCCTTAATAAGACACCCAAATGTAATATTAAGGCTAGGATCCAATCACAATATATTACACTTAGAAGAGGGATGCCGTAATCTAAGTAATAATATATTTGAAAGGTAGGTGAATGACGATTCACCAATTTCCACCATGAAAACGAAATGATTTATTAGGTTTAATTGGATTTGAAATTCCTAGATTCTTTTGAGATTCATTGAACTTTTCAATGGCATGTTTCAATCTCGATTGTGCCCTTCAAGTTTTGTGACTGGGATGCCGAGGATCACAAAACAAGGTGTGAATAACCATGCTAATTCACTTGGTACTCTTAATATTATCACCTAATCAATGTGCCGGTTAACCACACACGCTCCATTGATCTATGACAAACATTAAGTCACCCTTCGTGATCCTTACTAGTCCTAGTTAGTGTGCCGGTTAACCACACACGCTCCACCAACGACTTGGTAAGGTACAAAGTGTGAATTCCATGGACTAGCACCATGTTCACATTTTCCTAAAATAACTAAGATTGGGAATTAAAAGAGTTTAGTTATTTTATAATATTCATTATACTTTTAATGAGGATTTAAAGTCATTGTTCTACCCGTTCGGCTAACGACCCTCCACCGATCAAGCAAGCGGTGGGTGAGAGTATACACCCATTAAGTCGCCATTTTATAGGCAACAACCTTATACCCACCTTATAGACCGGCTTCGTGAATGAGGCCTACTAACGGTAAAACGACTTATTCTTATACATATATATAATAATTAACCATTAATGTTATAAATAGTATAAGGGTTGAATTTTAACTATTAAAACTCTAAGGTTTGGAATTAAAGTTTATTAAAGTGTGTGAAACTTTACAAATTCCAAAACTTGAGGGCAAGTTTTGTAACTTTGCAAAACTCTTCATTTCATAACTTATGAATTAAAGGTTCATAAAAATGAAGACTCTTCATTTTCATGTAACTTATGTGTTTTAAGTGTGTGTTAAATGAAAGTGACCTTTGGTAATCCATAACTTGAGGACAAATTATGGACTCCATTAAAACACATAAATGATAAAAATTAATCCTAAACAATTCAGCAAATAATTCCTATCATTTTCTAAATTCATAAGAACATGAACATGATCATCAAAAATTCAAGAATTATATGAACACATAAAATCATGGAATTTTGATATATGCTATTGTAAATGGATTAGAACAACCATTACACCAACTAAAATAAGTTTTATAACACCAAAACAATTTAGGGTAATGTTTCTAGTCCATTTCCAGCAGCAAAAGTCGAGAATCTGCACTCTTTCGATCCTACTCGTCGAGTGCATGAACTGACTCGTCGAGTAGGTTGAAGTTTGCCTTGGACTCGTCGAGTCCCCCCAATGGACTCGGCGAGTCCACCATGCAGACAGCAACGATTTCGACTTTTTCACTATTTTGCATCAAGTATCAAACAAGCAAGCCTAGGCTCTGATACCACTGTTGGGTTTTGAGCAATCTAACACTTCCTAAGTGTGCATGCAACCCTAATAAACCTTGGATCTATGTTTGTCTAAATACATGCAAAATAATAATTTTCCAAGGTTTATAACCTATCTAACATGGCATGGGGAACATTTCAACATAAAAGAGTTAGAAGAGATTACATACCTTTTGGTGAGTTTGGTTCTAAGGAGTTTGAGGGCCAAGCACCAATAGTGTGAATGCCTCAAATGGAATCACAAACACCACAAACTCTTGGAAAACTTTGAGAGAGTATACACCTTGTATAAAATCGGCCACACACATGCACACACACACACTAGTTCACTAGTTTTCTCTTAGGCTCCATTTCATGCTCCATAAGCATGCTTATATAGTGTCATGGTTAGGGTGAAACCCTAATAACCCATGTCTTTTCCTTTTCCAAGGATCCATGGGTTAAAAGCTCCATGGATCATCCATGGACTTCCACATAAGCCTAGCCCATTAACAAATGAGTATTAGCCCACACTATATAAAACAAATAGCCCATAATTTAATTAGTCTTCCTTTTAATCTCTAAATTAATTCATAATTAATTTAAGACTAAAACTAATTAAATAATGTAACTTCATATTAATATATTATAACTCATAATATATTAATAAACATATGTGTATAACTCTCATAAAATTATCCATAATAGTTTGGATGAGATGCAACCCAAATGGACCATGCCGGTCGGGTCAAGTATATACCAAATAAGTTATGGACTTAGACACCTTATCCAACAGGAGTTTGTTGGGTCAAAGAAAAGAAAGCTATAAACCAATGGGGGATTGTTGGGTCAAAAATATGGTTTATACTTTGCTTTTCTAAGCATTTATTATTTTTAGTCTTGGGCCAAAAATAATATTTAGTTTATTTGTAGCTTGGACCGAAAACCCATGTGTTTTCGGTCTAGAATTGGGTTTGGGCCTTGAGTTTGCAAGCCATATATATATATATATATATATATATATATATATATATATATATATATATATATATATATAGTGTATGTGTGTGTATCCAAGTGTACTTGATGTTTGCGGCATAATAGATGTGTGCATTGTTGGATCATTCTTGCTTCTACTCCTTATTCTCATTGATTTACAACTTGTTTGTGTGTTTGATCACTAGTTGGTTCTAGATTTGGGGACTTACATGATTCATAGTGGAATATAGTTTTTTTGATAAATCCATTCAAACATGCATTATCCTTAACTAATACATGCCTTTGTTCAAGGGCCAAAACATGACTACTATCAGGCATCAGCTAAGGTTCTAGCATCCTTTTCTAAAGTCATTTCTTTCTACAAATGACCTATTCGTAACTTCTTCTTCTAAAAAACGCTCTCTTATTCTTTACAACTCTTGGTAGGCCGAGTCTTTGTCTACCTTAGCTTTTCGATATTCCTCTAAGGTATTTGTAAGAGACATGTAGATTTGTTTTAAGTAAGGCTTGAAAATAGTAGGACATAAACTATTTTCAGATACCATAAATTGTACCTACTGGATGATGCTTCAGCCAAAAGGTGCGTTAGAAACCATGAAATAGTAGTTCTTCATCTTTTTCACTTCTAACTCATTTTCTGATCCAGAGGACCAAATATCATTTGAAACACAATCTACATCGGTCTTTCAAATCTTGCATAACTCTCCATTATTTTGGATCCTTCACGGTCCTTATCAACTCCGGAAGACCAAACTTTTTCTTTTCCTATGACAAAGAAAGCTTTTTCTTTGTTAACAGCTTCAACAACTCTTCCCAAGTAGTATGCAAGATTCTTCACCTTGTTAGACTTACAATCGCTTGCGAAGTGATTGATTACATTACTGTTGTGATAAATTATGGTGTCACTGTTTCTTTTAACATCAGAGGTTTTGATACTTTCAAAAGAGTTTTTCACTAGAGAGTTATGTGTTGCTGGAATTTCTTTTGGTTTAGTTTTAGTAAGAGTTGTTGTGTTGGAAGTGCTTGAATGGAAGTGTTGATTATGAGGACAAGGAATGTTAGGTCTAGTGAAGAGTGGTGTTTTGGGGGGGTATTGGTGTGGGAATCTTTAGTTGTATTTGTGAACCAGGAGAGCATATTATTTATGGAAGTCTTCTTCAGAACGGTATGGTTCATTAAGTTTAAATCCAAAAGGACTCTGGATGGCTTGAGCGAGGTGTCCCTTCTGATGTTGTTACATGACTGCTGACTCCTGAGCTTGAAGTTCTCTTCAGAGTTCAATGAGATTCATCTTTTTAAGATTTCCATTTCCTTGCTAGATCATTTAACAGTTACCCAACCATCACCAAGACCATATAGAAATTTCAAATTTATTTCACGATTTGTTTTGATGGTTTTAGAACTGGTGATTTGGTTGAGACTAAGAGAAAAATAAGTAGCATCATACTTAATACTTTTTCCAGGAAGGATATGAAAGTTGTTGAAGTCATTCAAAGCAAAAGTGAGCTTTTTATTGTTAGTCCCAAATTTAATGATCCAATTCAGTAATCAATGAAGTTGATTATAATAAAGGAGAGATGTAGAAGAAGAAGAACTAAAATCAAGCATGCACAGATTTATATTCAGTAAATGTCAAGTACATCTTGAGAAAAGTACAACTGCTGCAGAGTTCTGACACAAGCAATCAGTACAAACTGACACAACTCAGTTGCTATAAATAGTACTCCTCCTACCAGCAAAAGAGTGTGCAGCCAAACACAGGTGTGGCAGTACACATTATGTGCAGCCGCACACACATGCGTGGCAGCACACATTACACGATAACATACAATCACTGCAAAATGACACTATCATCTAAACAAAATGATGCCTAGCTCAAACCACAAAATTATGTTCTTTCAGTCTCCCCCCTGGTTTGAGACTAGCATAGTATTGTCTTCACTCCTTTGGCTCCTCAGCAGGCTTCTCAAACAACCTCAGATCTGATCTCCCCATTGATCCCATCCAAAATCTTCCATTTATGATCGTGGCTACCATAGCAGTGAATTCTTTAGCAGCAGCTTCCATGACATCCTTTCTGCAAATGATTTGATGATGGGCCAAAGTTCGTATATCCCTTTCTCTGAAGCGGAGAAGATCTTTAGCACTAATCAATCTCAAAATATGTTCTCGATTCTTGAATTTGATGGTTGCAGTAGCTGTTTCGTCATCATATGCCCAAAATTCCATGTCATCTAGATATCCCTCATGAAAATGTTGAGGAATAGGGATTTCCTTTTGTTTCTTAGTTGCAGGCCAGAGTATAATCTTCATGGGTTCGCCTGTTTCTGGATCAAGAACATCTTTGTCCTTTTTATATAGGGCTTTTGCATTCTTCATTGATGGAAAGTTCTCTTTTACCTGTCTGTCGAGAAATCTTTTGAAATTTGAAGCATTAGGATCTTCAGAGGGGTTATGGAATGGGGCCCTGGATAATTCAACTAGATCAGTTTTGGTCCAAGAGTTGAAATCATGGGTGCTTTTGTAACATTCAGATGCTCCTGATTTTCGCTTTACAACCTACAAATTCATCACTAGATCAAAAGCCCACATTCGGATGCCTGTCCTGTCACCATACTCATCACCGAACTTTCTTTTCTTCAAATCTGTTACTATCAAGACATGGTCTTTTGTTTTGCGATTTTCATTAGAATTTTTCATGAATAAAAGGGCTTCACTTTGTTTTGTAGTTATGATTCTTTTTCCCTGCTTGATTGTGATTCTGGCTCTGCTTCCTTCAGGTTCCTTTTCAAATATGTCGACAATGGTAGTTGTTCTTGGAACAGGTGGGTCAACAGGTAGATAATCAGTTGCAGGAGGTGATTGAACAGAAGGAGGATCAACTACTCCATGAGGCTGTTGGAAGAGGGCTTTGACTTTTTCACCAAAAGCATCGTACAATACGTTCTTGAGATTGAAATAATTAGCTAGAACAGATCCAAGACTAGTTTGTAGATCATTGATTTGTTTGGTCTTTTCTTCATCTTTTTCCCTGAGCTCAAAAATATGTGCAGAAAGCTGATCCATATGAATTCACTTTTCAATGAGCTATTGACGGAGAATTCCAATTTCTTCTCGGAGATCAGATGAAGAGGATTTGTCATCATCTGTCCGACCCTCGTTAAATGATATTCCTTTTCCGCATGAAGAGGTTGGACTAGATTGAGCCAGATGTTTTACTAATCTGATAGAAGCTTCATCAAGAGAAGGTCGTGTTGGAGAATATTCTGGAATAGAAGAGGATCCACGAGTCTCGAACATGGTGCTTGTACCTTCATCAGTTTGCTTTGAAAGAGAGTGAGCAGTGGTTGCAGTGATTGTTGAAATAACTTGAGGAGCACATTTTACAGAAGGTACCTCCAGACTTTCAAGAGATTGGCTTGTTCTTATGGAGGTCTGAGAAGTCTGAGGTTCATATAACATAGAAATGACTGGAGTTGATGTTGAGACAGGTGACACAGAGGGAGGAATCTCTATTGTCACATCTCCTTGGCTTGTTGTGATTTCCAAGGGCTTTGAGGTAGAGAGCAGAATTTTGAGAAAATTTCCTTCATCTCTAGTCTTGGTTGCTAGAGAAGCAACTTCATTGACTTTATTTACACGGCTACTGGGAATATCAAGAAAAGGATCAAAATCTTCATCACCAAAATCAAACTCTATGTTTGTTGGAATGTCATCATTGATTCCTGTAAAGTCGATTTCTTTCAAAAACTCTACATCTTCATAAAGATCATCGTCATCATCCCCTCGAGAAGATTTTGAATCCTTTGCTTTCTGATAATCATGCTCATCAGCTACACAAGCTGTGGGAGAGTGATGAATCTCCTCCACTACAGGCTCGGAGGGAGAGTGATGAATATCTTCATTTTCCATCGACATGGATTGATCTGCTGATTCTTCTCTGACATCCTCTTTAAAAATTCCAAATTTTATTAATGGAAATTTTCCTTCAAATATGAATTTTCCGCCTCTCTTTTGCTTCATTAATCCAAAGGCACTTGGACCAATGGATTTGAAATCCAGAGTATCATTTCCTTTCTACAACTCGGGGTGAGTTACATTAAGGATGATTTGTAAAAATCTTGGATACATACAAAATTTGTCTCTTTTGCTTCCTTCAATATTTAGTATCATTTCATTCATTATGAATTTTGAGAAATTAAACTCAAAACCTGCGGCCAATGTAGCAATGGCACCAGTGTTGGCTAGAGAAATCTCGTTAGCTCCTGATCTCCAGCCAGAAATGCAACTCACGAACACATGAGCCAAAAGCTTCCAACATGGAGGAAGCAGCTTTTTGATTGTAGGAGGAAAAGTTCCTTCGTATCCCATATGCTCTAAAATTTTCTCAATTTGATGAACGTCAATCTCCATGGGGTACTTAGGTCTGTCCTCAATTTGAAGAGATTCTCTGATGATGCTTTCTGTTACTAGAATTTTCTTGTCTTCGATTGTTGTTTCCAGAAATTTTTCACCTCGATCATTCTTCTTTACATCAGCATTTCTCCAGAAATCCTTAATCAAACTTTGGTAGATAGCAGGATTTGTAGTTAAGCAATGAACCAAGCATGATTTCTTCAAACCATCCACAATGAATTTCAAGTCACTGTGGGCTGCAGGAGGATCTTCAAGAAAAATTGCAGAATCATGAGCTTTAGCGAACTCCATGTCTCCCATTTTAATCTGAAAGTTAACACATGAAATTATTAGGGCAACATATAAGAATGATGTAGCCGCAGACGGAGTTACACACAGCCGCACACGCACATATGCAGCTGTACAAGGTCAGCCGCACACATTTATTCATCAAGTAGTGTGGCAGCACACGGTCAGCCGCAAACGCTTATTCATGAAATAGTGTGGCAGCACACGGTCAGCCGCACACACCGTGTGCGGTTACCCTTGAAGATAAACAAATTTTTTATGATGATTCAACAGCAAACTATATAAAATTTTTGTGAAAATAATCGAAAAATCAGCCGTGTTCATGGAAATTACCGAGTAATGCTTTGATTTCACAAAAATTAATCTAATATTCCAGGAGTTCGAGAGAAAAATAGGTGTGTGTGCGGTTGAGGCAAAAGTAAATGATGGTGAAAAGGCTCACCACACACACGCTTTTTATATACATAGAATTTACAACTTCTCCCCCTTATCTTTTAATCATTAACGCCTATGCTCCTTTCACTCACCATTTTCTCAAAATGAAATATTTTGAGGATCAATGTGAAATTAATTTAAAAAATTCCTAATAAACTAAAACTTATTATTAAAAAAATAAAAATAAAATTAAAAAAAAATAAAAATAAAAATAAAAATAAGATAAAGAAATAAAAAATAAAATAAGAATAAGAAATAAAATGAAATTGGAGATACTATTGACGATAAAAATCAATTTAAACCTATATAAATTGTTTTAGCCTGTTGAGGTTTAGGGATCAAAGTTTTTAGACAGCCTTTATCCGCTTGTCGGTACCTTCTATCTTCACGTCTTTGTCTAGTCGATTGTCGGTATTGTTGCCACTTAAACACAAAAAATTGTGACAAAATTAGGATATACTATACGTGACAAGACAATGTGATCCTAAGTTCCTAGATATTATATCTGATCCTAAGTTTCTAGATATTATAGCTTAAGGACCATTCAACTGACGACGACCAGGGATATTGTTATCCACCTAAATTAAGCAGCGAGATCTATAGACAATCTTTGAGTGTTCAATTTTACTGGAACATGTTTCCCGCTTCCAGATATGCCTCAGTAATCAAGGACTTCCAGAGTACTCCTTACATCGGATGAGCAGACCATCATTAGGGGAGAAGATAGATTCAGAGTATTATCACTTATAGTGCATATGCTGTGTACCAGGTCGGATTGTTAGTCACGCAAAGGAGATAGCATATGGCTAACATATAGGAGGAATTTCATATATGTATATGTATAATATGCAGAGAAATAGAGTTGCATATGTTATAGTCCAGGTCGGATCTCTTCCAATCACGCAGAGGAGGCAACATATGACTAACAGACAGAAAGAAAGAAAATGATTTTCTACAGACCTAATTTATCGGAATTTACCAGTCGCCCCATCAATACCAGAATTAAGGACAGAATCCGCACATCGAGGAAAAGTTAAACCACGGTTCGAAGTACGGGTTCATTTAATGTAACGAGTAGATTCCCATATATATCTCTCTGCTCAACCTATCCGAGCATCGTATTTTCAGGCTAAACGGAACTATCTAGGTCAAGATTTTTCAAGTCATTTGATTTCCTAAGTTCAATTCTGCCTAGTCATGTCCATTTAGAATCTTTCGTGCCTACCGACACATCAAACCAGAGCATAGACCCTTCAACTTTGGGTACGTTACGTAGACTTAGGTTGCCTGTTATCACATGATCATATCACTTCCCAGAACATCTCCCTCAAACATAATTTCTAATTTTTAATGTTTTTGGTTTTTCTATTTTTTAATGTTTTTGGATTTTCTATTTTTTAATGTTTTTGGATTTTCTATTTTTCTCCCCCTAAATTTGTGCATAAAAATAAAATGAAATAAAATGCGCAAATTTATGCTAAAAAAAATAAAAATTAATCCTCAAAACGAATCATTTTTAGAAAATTAACCAACACATCGAATCGAGCTTTGTTAAAAGGCTTGGTGAACAGATCTGTTACATTATTATCAGAGCAGACCTGTTCTAGCCGAATGAGCAAACGCTCATAACATTCTTGAATAAAATGAATCTTTATGTCGATGTGCTTGGTTTTTGAGTGCTGGACCGGGTTTTTGGCAATTTGAATCGCAACCTCATTATCATAAAAAATAGGGGTTTCTTGAAAATTCAAACCGTAGTCCAACAACTGATGTTGGATCCAAATGACTTGAGAACAACAAGCAGATGCAACAACATATTCCGCTTCTGCTGTTGAGGTTGAGACTGTATGCTGCTTCTTGCACTGCCATGACACTAGTTTATCTCCCAGAAATTGGCATCCTCCTGAAGTCGATTTTCTATCAAGCTCACACCCACCATAATTGTTGTCTGCAAAAGCATAAAGATCAAATTCGGGATTTTTCGGATACCAAAGACCCAGTTTTGGGCACCCTTTGAGATACCGAAAAGTCCTTTTAATAGAAATTAAATGAGAGATTTTAGGATTAGCCTGGTAGCGAGCACATTGACAGACCGCAAACATGACGTCTGGGCAACTAGCAGTAAGATACATGAATGATCCGATCATTGATCGATAATGTGTTTGATCTACGGATTCACCCTTAAGATGAGGAGTCAGGAGAGACCGTTCCGCCATGGGCGTAAGAGCAGGTTTTACGTCTCGAAACCCGAACTTCTCCAGTACATCTTCCACATATTTTGATTGATGAATAAGGATTGCGGTTGAAGATTGTTTGACCTGAAGCCCCCAAAACGTGGTCATTTCCCCAAGTGAACTCATCTCAAAGCGCTTCTTCATCACCGCTTCAAACTCCTTGCAAATTTGTTGGCTTGTCGACCCGAAAATGATGTCGTCCACATAAATTTGAACGAGAATTTGATCTGGACCGACATGCTTGAGAAATAAGGTTTGATCAATGGTGCCTCAGGAATAACCGTGATTGAGCAAATGCTGAGTAAGAGTAGCATACCAAGCTCGAGGAGCTTGATGCAATCCATACAAAGCTTTGTCTAACTTGTAAACATGGTTTGGAAGAGATGAGTTAACAAAACCAGGTGGTTGGTCAACGTAAATCTCCTCCTTGACCTTGCCGTAAAAGAAAGCCGTCTTAACGTCCATTTGGTATACAATAAAGTTCATGTAGGAAGCATAAGCAAGGAAGATACGAATGGCTTCCAAACGAGCAACTAGAGCATAAACTTCTGTATAATCAAGACCCTCAATTTGCCAAAACCCTCGAACCACAAATCTCGCCTTGTTGCGCACAATGACACCTGAATCATCTTGTTTATTTCGAAATACCCAACGAGTATCAAGCGATTTGTTTCCTTTTGGTAGCTCCACCAATGTCTAGACTCCGAGTTTCTTAAATTGATTTAATTCATCATGCATGGCTTCAACCCAGCTGGGCTCATTTAGAGCCATTTCGACGGATTTAGGTTCTATTTGAGAGATGAAGCAAGAGTAGAGACATGTATTAACATCCCCATTTTTACTTCTCATTTGAACACCGTCGCCCAACTGGCCAATGACGTGTTATATCGGATGATCTCGCTGAATACGTGTAGGGATCTGATAACTAATATCATTGACAGAAACAGGAAGATTATGAATATTAACCACTCCATCATTTGTTGTATGATCTGTAGAGGATGAACAAGGTTCGTTTGAAGAATCTGCCACAAACTCTTCTGCAATACTTTCCGGAAAGAGAAGTTCCATCAGATTTGAAGTTACAGCGGAAGTCTCGTGGTTCATGAACTCTCTATCCATCGGAGTTAAAGGAGTAACAATAGCATCAGGAGAAGGTTGTTGAGGAGACTCATAAGATTCAAAATGAGCAGAGGGTACCAATGGAGGATCAGAGGAAATCAATGGTGGTCGATAGACAACTTCATCTTCTTCGTCTTCACTAGGAATCTTTGAATTGGAAGTAGACCCTTTTTGATTATCTGAAGACACATTGAATGATTTGAAAAGAGATGTGTAGTCAAATAACCAATCAGGACCCATTCTTGCATCTGTCTCATTTTCTTCAAGCCAACGAACATCAAAGGATTCTACAATCTGTTTAGTCTTTTTATTGTAAACCCTGTACGCAGTTTGAGCAGCATATCCAACAAAGTAACAGTCATCGGCTTTGGCATTGAATTTGGGATTGGATTCCAAGTGGAGAAGGGTGCAAGGGCAGCCAAATACTCGGAAATGACTGACAGATGGCTTGTGTCCAAATAAAATCTCATACGGCATCTTCATTCTGGCTTTGTTGATTAGCACACGATTTTGAACATAACACGCGGTGTTAATCGCCTCTGCCCAGAAGAATATAGGAAGCTTGGAATCACAGAGCATTGTCCTTGCGGCATTTTTAGAGTTCGATTCCGACGTTCGGCAACCCCGTTTTGTTGAGGTGTTCGAACAGAACTGAATTGACGCACAATCCCTTTCTCCGCGCAAAAATGATCAAGAACATCGTTCTTGAACTCTGTTCCATTATCGGTACGCAGAACTTTCACTCGATTTTTAGTCTGATTTTCGATCATCACAATGAATCTTTTGATAAGGTTAGCAATTTCAGATTTGTTAGACAGAAAGAAAACCCAAGTGAAACGAGAGTAATCATCTATCACAACAAGGCAAAAAGAGTTGCGATTGATGCTTAGAACATTAACCGGACCAAATAAATCTATATGCAATAACTCGAGCACTTGACTTATGGAGTTTATCTGCTTTGGAAAGTGTGGTTTTCGATGATGTTTTCCCTGAGCGCATGAAACACATTTTTCAAAAGTAATGAAATCTTTGATGGGTAGCCCGCGGACAAATTCGTTCTTCGCAAGTCGATTCAAGTTCTTTGCATTCGCATGACCGAGACGACGATGCCACAACATCGCATTTTGTTCAGAAGCTTTGGAGAAGAGATAAGTGACATCGTCAGGGAAATTTCTATTCATGTCTATAATGTAGGCATTTCCATGCCACTTAGATCTTACAAGA